CATTTTAAAACTTATTATGGTACTGTTTCCAGTGTAATGCATCTCCTTTCCACTACTTTTATACTCATAAGTGATTGGTTATAATGTAGTATTCATTTACATGGTTTCATGGGTTATATTAATAAATTTCAATGAGTAAAAGTGTTTTTGTTTTTACAAATAAATGAAAGAACCTAAAAATAGAAACTCAAAGATTCAGGCTGATGATTTACTTTCTAATGAGTGAATCTGAAGCAAGTGCCATGCAATTATGTTAATAAATAAAGATTACAGAAATAAATACTGTAGTTTCCAATTTTCTTCTAATGTGATAAACCATTGTAAATATAATTTAGTAGAATGTTTTGTTTACAGTGAACTCAAATATTGGAAAACTATTATGATTTGTTAAACTGCAAGACTGAACTTTCAGTAGATATTTTTAAGGAACATTTTATTTGTTGGGCTAGACTTAATGTGTTGCAAGAAATGCATGCTCAGTAGGTATATATTTTATGTAAATTTTATTTGTTTGATAGCTGTTTACGAACATCATATTTGACCCATCATCTTTAAGTACATGAAAATGTTTGCGTATGTTTGACTCTGATAGCAGTTTTATGGAATATTCAGAAATATGTGTCCTTTTCAAGGAGCTAGTTACATTAACCAGTTATAACCTCAAATGGAAGATCTTTTCTTAATCTATAAATAAATATAACATGACTTGATACTGCCCCTTGGATAACATGTCTGTTCTCTGGGCTTTGGACAGCCCATGAGAGAGTCAATCCCCACCTCTAAATGAAATGTGTATCTCTGATTTCTGGCTGAATCAAATTCTCAGCATGGAAGGCATTCAAAGTCTGATGGCTTTTCAGGCTTGAGTGTGCTTGGTTTAATGCTAAGCACTAAGATTTCATATTTTATTCATAATAATGATCATTAAAACGGGAATATTATATAACAGGAAATGTTTGTGTATATCATAATCTCTTGATTCATGTGAAGATCTCAAACAACTAAAGTTCCATGGATTACTAAAAACTGATTTTACTCAGATTTTGGGGGATTTCAATGTTTAAGCTCGGACTGACATTGAAATAGCACAGAATATATAAAATTTTATATTACAGATCATGTAACTGGATGATTGTGCATTGTTTAAGGAAATGTTTTATTACAGAGAGTTTAGTGCAGGTTTTATGTTGAATTCATGTTTTTATAAATGGTTATAACTTGACTGATCATATTTGTATCTTTGTGTGACTGTTCATGTAAAATGTGGGAGAATGTGAAAGCTGATTGCTCCTAATTATTAATAGTTTTATTGAGTAATCATACAACAATTCATGCTTTAGAAAGCTCACCATTTCTTTTATTGATGGGTAGCCTGTAAACCCTTTTAGCTTTTTTACATGAATATCTATTTCATCTAAGGATCACACATATGAGAACTCGAGTCCCTTTATAAAAAGAGAGATCACTAAGAGCTCACCCAGCTAATCCTATCCTGTTTAACTACCTATCAAATTTGACCCATTTTTTTATTACACAACAATAAAATAAAATTTCAGAAACAAACCCTGTTTGATCATTTCCTATAATCTTTTCAAGACACTGTATTTTATTACAAACTATTGATCCTCCCCTGTTGGGTGTTTATTGACCACGTCTCACAAAATGTCGGAGAAATTCTCTCATGGGCAGTGAACTTGAGCTGTTTGATGTGCATTGACGATCCTAGGAAGTGTGGTGTGGTGTGATTCTGTGAGACACTGAGCAGTGTGTGGATTTAAAGTTTAAGCTTGTTTATTAAAAAGCAATTTATCCTTCATGGGTGTGTGCTGCAGAAAGACCTAGTTTATTCTGGTTCTCCCAGAAGCTTCTCTTCCTTCCCCTGCTGCCTGCTGTCTGTTTGAACCAGTAATTAATGTGTTGATGACACAGTCCTTTCAAACAAAGGCCAATAAAGAACTGAGGGAATTCTTGGGGAAGTGACCTTATCATGACTTTACTACATGACCTTTTCCAGATAGATTTTGTTTCAGTTAGTTTCCAACTTCAAGTTAATTTGCTGGCTTAGTTGAATATTATAAGGGATTGAAAGTTTAAGGTTTTGAATTATAGAAACTATAAGAATCCTGTTGAAGCACCTTAATAATGATTTATCTAGTTCTAGCTTTTTATGTTTAATGACAACTTGTGGGAAAACAGGTCATATTATCAAATAACGTTAATGAACAGTCTTTAATGTTTTGGTGACAAGATTAGCAGAGCTTATTTGGGATTCTTGCTAAATGAGTACAAGAATGGGTAAAAGTGTAAGATAGTGTTAAGTTGATGCACCGTAATAACTTTTACTATTAATATACTTCTGATAACATCAGATGGCTTATTTCAAATACATAGAAAATTTATTTTGAGTGTGTGTATGTGAGTGTATGTTTGTGTTTGGATGCATGTGTGTGCATACATGTGGAGGTCAGAGGGAAACCTAGCATGTCATTCTTCAGATGTCCTCCCTCATTTGTGAAATAGAGTCTCTTAATGACGTGAACTTGGCTAGTCGAGAGAGAGAGAAAGAGAGAGAGAGAGAGAGAGAGAGAGAGAGAGAGATTATATACCTCTTTGTACTTATAAAAGTTTGAGAAATAAAACAATTATTTCCTGGTAGTTAAGCCTTCTAAAAGACTCTTGTGTTCATGTGGCTGGCCCCAAAGAAGGATACCCCTCCTGAAACCCCTTTCTGCTGTTTGTCATAGTTCACCAAACTGTTTTTTGTAATTTTAAAATATCCAATCAATATGCATATTGGAGTCAGAATTATTTTCACTCTGTTGGGCAAACTGCTGTTGTAACTCATTGTTACTGCTTGAGCATATGTAAACTTGGCCCTGGTATTTTACAGTGAGTTGTTATATGTGTTGGAAATATGCCTGTTAAGTTTAGTTGCAGTTTGAAATGTCTTCAAGGATATTACAGCATGAGTTAATGTCAACACACACAGCTATTATACATACAAAAAAGAATGGAAACATAGTTTGGAGTGCACATTTAAATGAACTGAATTTTCATTCTTGGAGTTTGAGAACTTCTATTTTCTTGAGCCTCAATAAGCAAATACCTGATATGACTTAAGCTCTTGAGATATGCATACATGGCCAGACCTGTGCTCCTTGTGATGACTGCTTTACAGATGAAAATGCCTGTTAAGAATTCAAGCAAATTTAAGGAGCACTAGAGTATCGGACACATGCTGCTTCCATTGCTAGATGTATTTGCCTGATGCTGCTCCAGCTGCTTGTCCACGTAGGTGATTCAGCCTCTCGGTATCTTTTAAAATATATAAGTTTCTGATATGCTATTAGGATCTTCTGAAACACACTAGACCTTTTCTTCAATCAACTTTACCCCAAGGCCCACTTGTTCTGTCTCAACTAGAGTGCTACCATCTTTTTTAAAAAAATATATCGTGGGGCTGGAGAGATGGCTTAGCAGTTAAGAACACTGAATGTTCTTGCAGAAGACCTGGGTTCGAATCCCAGCACCCACATGGCAGCTAACAACTGTCCGTAACTCCAGTTCTAGGGGATCCGACAGCCTCTTCTGTCCTCTGTAGGCATTGCTTGACACAGGTACACTTACCTACATGTAGGCAATACACAAGATACACATAAAAATATAAAAATAATAAATAAAACATAAATAAAAATATCATGAAGAACAAATATATATGTATATATAATTAAGAATATGAATCTGCCTTAAATTTAGCCCCCTTTAAGACAAAATGCAACCACATTTTTCTCTGCTTCTTTTCAGATCAATCTTTATGTGCATTAATGCAGAAAATTAGAGTTCCCAAATGTGTTCATAAGTGCTTTCCCTTGCCCCATTCCCACCGAACAGGCTGCTGTTCTTGGCTGGATGTTTCCAAGATTATGTTTCAGAAGATGAAATACTCAATCCAAATACTTGATAAGTATCATGCTTCTAATCTTGTAAGTAACAACTGTGTCATTTAAGAATACTTAAAAAAGAGATCCTGAGTGACTAAATATGGAAATTGACCATCTTTGAAAGAAGCTAATTGTTCCTGATCTTGGAAGCACCCACATTGTATTTTTCTAAGTATCGTTAACATTCAAAAATTGCTGTACCTGATCACCCCTGTATGGAGACCACCGTACATCAGTGCTTCTTATATTTCTAATGAAATGGAAAGGATTTGATAGGACAGACTTTTTTTTTAATTTTCAGTTTCTTCCATATCAGTTTCCTAGTCTGTCACTTTTGCAATCAAATCTCAGTTGAGGAAAAGATATGACTCCAATTCAAATTTTCTATGAGGAAAAATATTCCCACATGCCTGGGAACTGCATTGTCTTCTTGGATTGATCTGATTCCCAACAAAGTTGAGTAAACTGCCACAGCGAGTGCCACTGCTTCTCTTTTCTGATGACCCTTTCTCTTAACAATGCCCACCTGTGTTTCTCACGCTGTTTTCACTGTGCAGGGCTAGTTTCTTTATCCATGTCTCATTGGCTCTGAATTTCTCATTCTGAATTCTTTCAGCATTTCCTACCCATGGGTTTAGACACTCTCACAAAACTGTCCTTCTAGTTCCAGAAAATTTACCAGTCTTTCTCGTTCTTTTGCGTTTAGGGGAACTTTAGTCTGTTCTAGTCATTCTAATTTAGTCTGTTCTTTCCATTCTAAGGTGATGCCTCCCTGAGCTCCCCCACACCTCCTTCTCTTCCATGCCCTCTTGCTTACTCATCTCCTCTTTCTCCTACTTTCTCTCTTCCTCCTCTGCCTTCTCAATCTCCTCTTTCTTACCCTCCTTCTCTTCTTCCTCCTCTTCCTCCTCCTCTTCCTCAATCTCCCCTTCCTTAACCGCCTCACTAAATATTTTCCACTTTGCCTTAGCTTGTTTTCCTGAACAAATATTGAGATAATCAGCTTGTAGACAAAGGTGTTTTACCTAGAATTCATATTCGGTCTCCATGGCCGTAGACCCATTCACTTCATAGTGAAGAAGCAAAACTACAAGATGAAGGAGGCTGTGGCCCCACTGTCATCAGGTTCACTGCCCTGAAACCAGGTCTGGAAGATTTCCTGTCATACCATACCTATTTGTTTTACAACCTCCGAAAAGCAGCAGATGGGAGACCAGGAAGTCAACACACAGGCCTTTCAAAGATGCTACAGATACAAGATGAAGCAGTGCCACCTTTGGAAGGATGGTTTCTAGATTTCAGATTTTCTCACAACTGAAAAAGTAAAACTCCATTAAGGTACACATGGCTCTCATGGTATTTCTCTCATAGTTGCAGAGAAAATAACCTTTTTATAGAGAGAATGTTGATACCAGAGAAGAAAGATAGGTCATTGTTAAATTGGCGAGAGATTACATTATCAGTTGATTGATTTCCTTTTTATAATATACTTTGACAGAATTCGAAAACAGATGTGGATTGAACAACAAACAAAATAAGCAAATTTAATATAAATTCTTTATTTAGTTTATTTTATTGAGAAGGTAGAAAAAACTACCTTCTTCTAAAATGGATAAAGGGAATGAAAAAATTAGTGCATTTTTCAGAAGAAATCTCTAAATAAGCAATTATGTAGTTTTATTATTAAGTGAGGACCTAACTACAACAATTTTTTGTTGTTTATTTCTTTGTAAAAATAGGTTCTCCCTGTGTAGCCAAGGCCGACCTTGAACTTGTCCTCCATCCTGCCTTAGCATCCTGAATGCTAAACTTTTATTTACTTATTTATGTTTTATAAATTTTGTTGTGTATATAAATGATATATGTATGTGTGTATACACATATGGAGGATAGAGGACAATTTTGTGGGGTCGGTTGTTTCTTCATCTTTTAAAAATATTTTATTATTATTATTTTTATTTCATGGGTATGAGTATATTGTGTGCATGTGTGTAAGCATATCTTATCCTGCAATACCCTCAGAGATCAGAAAAGGGTGTCAGATTTCCTGGAACTTGAGTTACACACAGTTGTTAGCTGTCATGTATGTGCTGGGAATTGAACCCAGGTCCTCTACAAGAGCAGTCGGTTCTCTTAACCGCTTGAGCCATCTCCCAACCCCTCCTTTCCCTTTTACGCCAGTTCAAAGGTTCAAATTATGTTGCTAGATGCCAGGCTTGTGTGGGCAGCACTTTTGCTATATTATTGCCAGCACTTCAGTATGAAAATTTTGGAAAGAAATTTTACAGCCAATTTCAGAAGGGAATTTAAATTCATATAAAAATATGATCTTTTATAAATATAAATTATCATGGAAAGAAATTTTGTAATACCTTTATATTTATGCAATTTATGAATAATTTCCTTTCACATATATGGCTTTACAAGGATCTCACAAACAGGTAATTGCAGAACAATATCAGCTACTCATATCAATGTAAAAACCTTAAAATATTATTGAATAATGTACACCAGTGTTCACAGTAGCATAATTCACAGTTATAAAAAAGGAATCAAATGATATGTTCTCGGGATGGCAGCAGGAATGAAACATGTACTAATACACAGCATCATTCCACATTAAAGAATGATGGGTTTGGGGTAAAGTCTGCAACACGGATGATTGCTAAGCACCTGGGTACAGTTAGCAAATGTAAGAGGCAAACATTAGAGACTCGTAGAGACGCAAAATGGAATAGCAGAAGAGATGCCTTTCTGTGTGGGATGAGAAGAAGCTGAAAGGGATAGAGGCAGTATTCAAGTGCTGTTGTCCGTGTACTTAATGCCACTGAAGTGTGCATTTGAAAACAGATAAGCTGGTTTATGTTTTCCATAGTTTCAGAAATAAAATAATGTTATAAACTGTTGGGAAATGTATTTCAGTGTCACATAAGTTATGCTCAAGTGTAGTTTATTACAGGGATTTAAAATTCATTTAGTATTTAAAACTAAACTATCTGGGTAAATTTCCTGAACTTGTAAAACAAGGCATTTGATAATATCAGGTTCCCTTATTCATAAAATAATGTCATGTTCGTAGATATTCAACAGCCATATGGAGAGGTCATTTAAACATGTGGGAACAATAGTGAAGGGTTTGAAAATAAATAACAAGAAAGGCTTTCTACAAGTCTGTGCACAAACACCAATTTCAACTGAGTAAAACCAAGTACCAGTAACCAAGAACCAGAGTGAATCATAAGCAGTTTTGTTTTATAATGTTACTTGTCGAAAGACATTTCTAATAAAGATGGAAAATACTGAAGTGCTAAGAAGTAAACAAATTATTTTGGAACTTAAACTACATAAGCTTATAAAATGATTATTACAAAAATCAAGACAAAAAATTGTGTGAATATTTGAAAAATATTTGAAACACATGAAAGAAATTCATTGTCCTTGTACACACACACACACACACACACACACACACAAACAATTCTTCTAATTTAATGAAAAGATAAAGATATAAATGGATAAATTACCTGTATATGTTTTGAAGCAAGTATGAAATAAAATCCAAAAGTTGACTTACTAGAAAAATGTAATTCAATGCCTGGCCTGTTGGTGCAGGACCATGATCCCGGGAAGTCCCAGGCTTAAAGCAGAAATGCCAGAAGCTGAAAGCCTGTGTGAGCTGTCGAGTGAATTTGAGGTCAGGCTGGGCATCATAGTGAGACTCTATCTCCAAGTAAATAAAAAAATGATTATGAATATAGCTTTGTGGTAGAAGTTATAGAGTTTATGAGAGAGGGGGGGAGGGAGGGAGAGAGAGAGAGAGCAATTGTGTAAATATGTGTATTTGCAGACATGGGATAAACTCTGGTGTCAGTCCTAGTAACTCATACCCTATGCTGATGATGATTCATTAGAATGATTCATTACAGCTTGATGTTCTGACATTATAATTTAACAGTGTCTTCCAGTTTCCTGAAAATTGACCCCAATTATGACTATGAACATCACACGAAAATCTTAAAAACTGAAAAGAAAAAAATCCACAAAGATTTTATCTTATGAAAATCTAATGTATTCTCTATCTTTAGTGTGTAGATAATAATGCTTAAATTAAGAGTATATACATTAAGCGTATCAATTTAGGGGACAGCTAACTTTCAAAAATAAACTATAAGCCATAATACAAAGGCATATAAAGGATAAACAAAGTTCTTTAACCTGGAAACTCTTATTTAGAATGTTAAGATATTGTTAGCATTCACCATAATTCACATAAGATGTAAGTCACAGTGAACAGTTTTTTTCTTAGTACACTAGAAGATCTGAAGAAGTGATGAAAGTTCAAAAAAAAAATGTAGATTTGCCATAAGACACAAACTGTATTAGTGACACTATTTATATTTGATCTAGGGATCTTTCTACCAAAACCTCTCTTTGGCATTAAACTATTGCATAATCCATGTTCTTCTGTACAAAGAGACATTAAGATAACTTCACAATTTCTACCTGTATTCTAAATACCTGTTCGTATACCAACAGATAAGTTTAGCTTCTCTCCCGCATCAACGAAGCATCTTTTTGCAGCAGATGGAGGCTACTCCAGAGCTCTCCAACTGGTCAAAATGCAGAGAATAACTGACGGAGGGGTGCCAAGCCCCATTTGTTGCATCTACAATATAACTTCTGTCCTTAAGGCTCAGAGAACATCATGGAATGGGGGAGAAAAGATGGTAAGTGTCAGAAGACTATAATAACTGCTGGGAGACAGTGTCTTTAGACATGACAGGGATGCTGGACCCATGAAATCCTAATCAATGACAGTAATGACCAGTCAGCATGTCAGTGTGGATGGGAAATCAGATAAGGTCTCACCCCCTATGGGAAGAGCTAAAGGCTGAAATCAATGACTACTGAG